GAAACTCGGGGCAGGGGACGCGACGATCGGGTTGGCTCGGGTTGGGAGTACGCATCCGAACTCGGTGCCCCGCGATGTCTGCCCAAGTTCTGGGATTTTTACGCAGTTGGACTCCTCTCCCCCTGGCAGCCCTGCGGGGCGAGGAGCTGAACAGACGGAGAGAGCCACGGGGCTCTGACCCATGCGTCGGGCCAGAGCCCGAGGCCCCGGAGAAGAAAGCCCCCAGAAAGAGCCCCTCCGCTTCGGAGTGTGGGGGCTCTGTCCCGGGATGGGGGCACCCTTGGTGGCACCGGCCCTCTGCTCTGCGGATCCCTCGAACATCTGGGTCCGCGACCCGCGCGGTTCCAGCCTCGCAGGAGCGCGCGGATCCTTGCGCGTGGCCGAGGGATCGAGCCGGCTGCTCCGCGCCTCCGGGAGCCGGGGCCCCGGCCTCTGCCAGTGCCGTCTCCTCTTTCTCAGATCCGGCAGCTGCGAGGAATGACGCGGGCATCCCCACAGCCCCGGCCTGGGGCGGGGAGGGCGAGCCCCACAGCCGGCTCCACGGAGACCGCCTGGGCAACGCCGATAAGGAGGTGAAGGCAGGAGCCGCTACCACGGGCAGCGCCCCGACAGCGCGGGGGACCCCTTGGCAGAGGGAGCCGGGGGTCGAGGTTATGGATGCAGGTTGGTTAGTCCTGGCGGGAAGACCCGTGGGCGGGACCCGTTTCTCTCCTCCAGGAAGTTTGGCGGGGGGTCAGCTGGACGACAGAAAGGGGCTGGAGACTTTGGAGAGAAACACTTTCTCCCACGCGGCAGGAAGCGGCCAGCCGGCAGCCGAGGACCGGGCAGGCCGGCCCCCCGGTGCGATCGGCGCCCGCTCCACCCCCCCCCCCGTGCCTGCTCCCTTGGCCAGGCTCCCAGTTGGGCCCATGACCCGGGTGTTGGAGGCAGAGCCCCTGCTGGCATCCTCGGCCCTCTACTGGCCGGTTGGGGATGCGCCTCCCTGGGTTTGTCTCCCCAGCCGGTGGCTCCCGGTGTCCCCGGGGCCTGATCCCGCAGCCCTGCCGGGTGCTGGTGCTCCTCAACCCGCGCGGTGGCAAGGGCAAAGCCCTGCCGCTCTTCTGGAGCCACGTGCAGCCCCTGCTGGCGGAGGCCAACGTGTCCTTCACGCTGGTGCTCACTGGTGAGTCCCTTCCCAGTGGCCGTGGGTGCAGGGCCGGCCCTGCCTGGTCCTGACCGCCCTGTCTCCCCGCAGAACGGCGGAACCACGCGCGGGAGCTGGTACGTGAGGAGGATCTGGGCCGCTGGGACGCGCTGGTGGTCATGTCTGGGGACGGGCTGATGCACGAGGTGAGGCTGGCCGCGGGGGGCCGGGGCTGGCCAGGAGGGTGTCTCCCTGGTTGAGACCCGACACTCCCACAGGTGGTGAACGGGCTCATGGAGCGGCCCGACTGGGAGATCGCCATCCGGAAGCCCCTGTGCAGCCTCCCTGCGGGCTCTGCCAACGCGCTGGCGGCCTCGGTGAACCATTATTCCGGGTGAGAGCCAGAGACTCGAGCAGCCTCGGTTTCCCCTGGGTGCCGCTGTCCTCTGGGCTTCCGTGTTTCTTCCCAAACTAGTTGCCGTGGAGTTGATTCTGACCCACGGCAACCCTGTGGTTGACTTTTCAAAAGCAGATTCCGGGGTTTTTCTTCCAAGGTGCCGCCCTCGGGGTGGGTTGGAACCACCAATCTCTAGCCAACGGCAGAGCGTTTCACTCCAGTATTTAGAGACTCATTTCCATAGGCCTGGTAACTTCTGTTCCTTTCTCCTATCAGTTCCGGGCCCTGGTGACCCCAGCTGGCCCCTCCACCAGCTCCTGTGTTCCACCTAGTAGTCCAGGGACCCGATGTTGACGTAGCTGCCCCAGCTCCCCAGGAGGAGGGAGGGTCCCGGGGCTCCCGCCCTGCCCCGTTCACCTTCCCCCGCTCCCCGCAGATACGGGCAGGTGGCCAAGGAAGAGCTCCTGACCAACTGTACGCTGCTGCTGTGCCGTGGGCTGCTGGCGCCCATGAACCTGCTGTCCCTGCACACAGCCTCGGGCCTGCGTCTCTTCTCAGTGCTCAGCCTGGCCTGGGGCTTCGTGGCCGACGTGGACCTGGAGAGCGAGAAGTACCGGCGCCTGGGCGAGATGCGCTTCACCTTGGGCACCTTCCTGCGCCTGGTCTCCCTGCGCACCTACCAGGGCCGGCTGGCCTACCTGCCTGTGGGAAAGACTGCCTGCGGGCGGCCTGCCTCCCCAGCCCTGGACCAGAGGGGCCCTGGGAACACGCTCCTCGTGCCCCTGGACCAGCCAGTGCCTGCCCACTGGACCGTGGTGCCCGAGCAGGACTTTGTGCTGGTGCTGGCATTGCTGCACTCTCACCTGGGCAACGACATGTTTGCAGCCCCCATGGGCCGCTGTGCGGCCGGCACCATGCACCTGTTCTACGTGCGTGGCGGTGTGTCCCGGGCCACGCTGCTGCGTCTCTTTCTGGCCATGGAGAAAGGCAGGCACATGGACTATGACTGCCCCTACCTGGTGTATGTGCCTGTGGTCGCCTTCCGCCTGGAGCCCAAGGATGGGGGCGGTGTGTTTACCGTGGACGGGGAGCTGATGGCCAGTGAGGCCGTGCAAGGCCAAGTGCACCCAGACTGCTGCTGGATGGTCAGCGGCTGTGGGGAGCCCTCGTCCAGCCGGGGGCCTCCACAGACGGCACCTCCCTGAGATCCCCTGTGACTCTGTGGGCCCCGTTGTGCCTTAGTCTACTCCGGGTGGGCTGTGCTGTTGACCAGGAAGCGGGGGCCTGGGAAGGACTGGCTATGCCTGTGAAGGCCAGAGCGAGGCTGGGCCGGAGTCCAGCTGGCTGGGCCAGCTGCAGTGGGAATGGAAGCCACTCCACCTGGTTCAGGGAGCCCTACCCCATGAATCAAATCCAATAAAGTGACATTCCTGGCCTGCTGGGCCTGTCCTGAAGGCTGCGGCGGGCAGGGTCTTGCTCCATAGGGCTGTAGAATTGAGTGTCAGCCACCACGTGGCACTAGGTCCTGCGAACCGCTTTGGGAACAGGCTGGAGCTAGTCTGGCCTGATTCGGGGGTGAGGCTGGGCTCCCCTGGTGACTGAGTATACCCCTTGGCAATAGAAAAAACTCTAGAGCTTGGCTAAGTGCTTCAACTGCACACATAGGAAACCGAGGCTCAGAGCCAGTTAGTCTGCTGAGTCTGGCTGGAGCCCGGGTGGTCTCTAATTGAGAGACAAAGGAACATGACTGCTGAGTGAGGGGCAGCAGGCACAGAGGAAACAGCTGGGAGGGACAGATGCCAATCTCCCAGCCTGGGCAACCATTACGGCCTAAAGACCAGGAGAACAGCACTGGCCACAACCAGGTGGGCTGCCTGCCTGCCCACCGCTGGAAGCAGAATGGCTGAATCGGTCAACTGTAGGCCCTGGGACAATGAAGACAGACAACCAGAGAAGAGTTGATGCTTTTGAGCTGTGGTGTGGGTGAAGACTGCTGAGAGTGCCATGGACTGCCCGAACTAACATCTGTTCTGGGAGAAGTGCAGCCGGAATGGCCCTCGGAAGGGAGGATGGCCAGACCTTCTCTCCCCTCCTTTGGTCACGTTGTCAGAAGGAACCATTCCCTGGAGAAGGATGTCAGGCTTGGTAAAGTAGAGGGTCGGTGAAGAGGGGAAGGCCCTCAACGAGATGGACAGGCACAGTGGCTGCAACAATGGGCTCGGGGATCGTGAGGCTGGCACAGGACGGGGCAGGGTCTCGTGCTGCTGTACGTGGGGTCACTGAGTGGGAGGTGACTCGCCAGCACCTGACAGCGATGACAAGGGCAGAGGGACCCACAGCTGCTGGGAGTGGACGGGCTGGAGGGCTACCCTGGTCCGAGGCCGGGACCCCCAGCCAAGGCCCTCGGGCTCGGAATGCAGGCGGCGGCGGCGAGGCGGACCGGGTGGGGAAGGTGTGTGTGGAGGTCCTCCAACCTGGCCAGGGGACCGTGGCTCCTGCCACACACCTTCCCCGGCCACGGGGAGGAGTGTCTGAGGGAGGTTTAGCCAAGGGACCCTGGACAGAAGGAAGGCAACCGAGCCCCAGCGAATGGCAGAGGCAGGTTTAATGGTGTCACCTTGTCTTATGTCGTACACTGTAATAAGCCAAACCAAAAAAAAAAAAATGCAAGTAAAAAAGTTTCACCACATCGCACTTGATACAGGTACCGTAAGCAGTAGGCGTTCACCTCCATGGGGACGACGCTGGAAGCGAAGCCCCACCGTTGGGCGTTTCCCCAGCAAGCTCCCGCCTGGGCTCTGAGCACCCACGCCACTGGCAGCGGTGCAGCGCAGGTGCAGGCCAGCTTGAGGCCAACGAGACGCAGCGTGCCTGCTGGGCTTTGCTGCTGCTAGTAAGTGTTGCGATTTCTGCTCTTGCGATTTTATTGGTTTTAAACCTTAAATATTACATACATACACCCAAAGTCAGGTAGCTGCACAGCACGCGACACCATCCTCCAAGCCTGGGGCTCCACGCCACTCAAGCTCAGAAAACTGTAAACCTCGGCCGGCCTCCACCTCTCCCTGGATGGCGCTGGCGGAGTTCATAAGCCAGGGCTGACGCGGCACCTCCTTCCTCCCTGAGGGGCTCGGGCGACTGCGTCCCGTGAGCTGCGTGCCTCTCCCGGAGCAGCCCCAGCACCGGGTCTGGTTCTGGGTCGCCGCCCCCGCCCCTGCAGCAGGCCCTGAGATGCAGCTGCCCGGGGAGCGGACGAGGCCGGCAGGCCAGCCCTGCCAAGTTCCCGGCCAGCCTCCGAGAGGAAGGCCAAGGCACCCATCAGTCTCACTCCCAGCAGCTTCCCGGTCCCCCACTCCACCGTTCCTGGGGTACCCCTGAACCAAGCCTGCTCCTGGCCTCTCCGAGAGCATGACCAGTGGGCCGAAGGGCTCGAATGTCAACGGGCCGAGTCAAGTGGGAGTCAGTGATAGCAGCTCCGGTTCCCAGGGGACAGCATCCATGCTGGGAGCCGGGGGCGGCGGCAGCAGGAGGGCAGGGACTTGGAGAAGCCACGTTGAGCTGAAGAGGATAGGGGGGCCGGGGGGATCGCTGGAGCAGCCCACACTTCATGCAAGGCACACCCGCTCATCCTGCCGCTGGCCTGCAGTGCCCTGGGCCCAGAGAGCCAGCGGCCGGCCCCGGAGCCTCCCTCTGACCCAAGATGGATGTGGTGAGGGGGGAGAGCCGAGACGACGCGCTGCCTGGGGGGCCGCGGGGGGCAGCCTTCCTTCGTACAGGGAGCGGCCGGTCAGGCGGCTTCAGAAGAGAAACGGCAGCGTCTCAAGCAACTTCTCACACGTAGGCGTCAGACTCGCTGCGGGGGGAGCGGTGGGGCGAGCTTCGGGGGAGGGGACGGGCAGGGGCGGCTCCAGGAGGTGCCAGTGGACAGCAGCTGGCCTCTCCCCGCCGGGCAGCTGGGTCCCGCCAGTGGCTACTTGTCCCCTGCCCGCTCGGGCATGCCCGCCTCCAGCAGAGCCGCCCGGAACTGTGTCAGGACGCCCCGGATGCTCTTGATGAAGCCCTTGGAGAGCGGGAAGAGGGGGAAGCCGATGTCGGGGTAGCCGCTCTTCTCGGGCAGGAAGCTCCGGTAGCTCTTCCTCCGCTTCTTTGGTTTGACGCTGGGCAGCACAGACGTGTCCGGCATGGCCTCCGAGGTCAGCTCTGTGCGGTCCCTGCTGGCTGAGGCCGGGCCCTGGGCGCCACCCTCCGAGTCTGAGCCCTGGGAGGCCTCGCCAGGGGCCAGGCCGCTGTCCTCAGGTTCCTCTCGGCCAGAGTCCGAGAGCTCGGCCCCCAGGGGCGGCTCCGGTGAGCTGCTGTCCTTGGGGACCCCGTTGGGCAGTGCCTGGGCCCTCCCCAGCAGTGCGTGCGTCTCTAGCCAGGACTCGATGCGGCGCACCAGCCGCCAGCCGCCAAGGCGGAAGTGCTGCCGGATCTCCTGCTCGAAGACCTCGGGGGGCCGGCGAACCAGCTGGGTCATGGACTGCACCACGCGGATCAGCGCCATCTCATTGTAGCAGCGGCTGTTCTCATAGCCCTCCTGCAGGCCCCGGTCGCTGTCAAAGCCAGCCTCGTTGTAGTACGGCTCGTTCACTAGGATGAGACCTGGGCAGGGACGGGAAGGCCAGCCCTCAGTGGGAAGCAGCCTAGCACGGCAGGCGTGGCCTGGACACTCAGGGCACAGCAGAGACATAAGCGAGGCCTGGAGAGCCTCCCGCAGCTCTCCATGCCCCCGGCCCCTGGCCCTCCCACGGTCCATGGCCCCTGGCCTCTAGCCCCCCCCCCCGTCACCCCCAGCCCTGCCGTCATCCCTGGCCCCCCGTTGCCCCCCACCCTCCCATCATTCTAGGCCCTCCCATCGCCCCCAGCCCTCTGTACCTTGGATGGAGATGAGCACCTGAAGAAGGCTGGATTTGCTTGTCCACCTCTCTGTTCCCTGAAATGACACACGGCACCATCACGATGTCCCGCAGACCTGCCCCTGCCCACTGCCCTGCCTCGGCTGGTGTGCTGCCGCCGTCCTTACCTTTCCAATCCAGGTGCCCAGAAGGCTGACACACACCTTCCCGTTGTCATACAGGTTGGGGTTCAGGCGGCCACTGCACTGGGAGAGGTAGCAAAAGTGGGGGGGCACGGCCGGGTAGATGTTTGGGAGCTGGATGTCGAACAGGTAGAGGCCGTCCTCGTAGGGGGTCCGGGTGGGCCCCTTGATCAGGGCAGAGAAGAGGTCCTACGGGGGACAGGGGTCAGCGGAGGTTCAGCACGACACAGCGCGCGCTCTCGCAGTACCCCAAGACCACCGGCCAGAGGGGCTCAACACAGCAGCTCCGCACGGACCTTGGCACCCTTCCACCTTGGGAGTTTCCAAACTGGGTTTTATATCAGGTTTGTTTCCTCATAAATCATTACTTAACATTTTATTCCTTGAGACACTGACCCTGAATTAGAAGACGAAAGACTCTCCAGAAAGGCGAGGCTGCACCTGCTTTGGAGGCCAGAGGAGCCTCACAGCCAGAGTACTGGAGTATAGCGAGGGTGTGAACACCAGGGCAGAAAGGTGGGGAGCTGCCAGAGACCTCTGCAAATGCCTGCACTGAGCCCGGCACTGTGCACGTGTGTACACGTGTGTGTGTGTGTGTGTGCATGTGTGTGTGCATGGTGAGGGGAGCTGGGAGTGGCCGCGGGCGTCATCATGCAGGGCCAGCAGTGCTGGGCAGTGCGCACGGGTGACGGGAGCTGGATGTGGGCGTGGCCAAGGGGCCAAGTGAAGAGCTGGGGTCCCGTCACGCACATTCCTACAGGGCCAACCCCATGTCCCTCCAGGTGTGCACTGCCCTCCCCTCCCCGTGGGCTCTGGGAAGAGCAGAGCGGAGGCAGGGTGGACTCCTCAGAGGCACTGTACGAGACCCCGAGAAAACCCTCCACTGAAGGTGTCAGGACTCTGAGCACACGAGCCCGTTCGCTGCTCTGGTGCCTTCCCTTCTACCCTGCAGCCCTTCGTTCCAGGCACCACCATCAGTCTAATTCAGCATCTAATTCACTCATTGTCACTTTGTCACACTGTGGTGGCTGGCATGTTGCTGCGAGGCTGGAGGCTATGCCACCAGTGTCTCAAATGCCAGCAGGGTCACCCATGGTAGACAGGTTTCAGCAGAGCTTCCAGACTAAGACAATCTCAGGAGAAGGAAGAGGCCATCCACTTCTCAAAAAACTGGCCGGTGAAGACCTTATGAACAGCACTGAAACCCTGTCTGATACATTACTGGAAATCTTCATGAATAGCCCTGAAACATTATCTGATACAGTGCCGGAAGATGAGCCCCTCAGGTAGGAAGGCACCCAAAATACTACCGGGGAAGAACTGCCCCCTCAAAGTAGAGCTGACCTTAATGACATGGATGGAGCAAAGCCTTTGGGACCTCCATTTGACTCAAAATGGGAAGAAACAGCTGCAGACACCCATTAATAATCGGAACATGGAACATATGAAGTAGGACCCTAGGAATATTAGCAGTTGTCACAAGAATGAAACGGAATACATAAAGATCAGTATCTAGGCATTAGAGAGCTGAAACGGACTGGTTTTGGCCATTGTGAATCAGACAACCATATGATCTACTATGTTGGGAATGACAAATTGAAGAGGAACGGCGTGATATTCACTGTCACAAAGAATGTTTCAAGATCTGTCCTGAAGGACAATGCTGTCAGTGATAGGATAATATCCATATGCCTACAAGGAAGACTAATTAATACTGCTATTACTCAAATTTACACACCAACTACCAAAGCCAAAGACAAGGAAATTGAAGATTTTTACCAACTTCTGCAGTCTGAAATGGACCAAATATGCAATCAAGAGCTGTTGATTATTACTGGTAATTGGAATGCCAAAGTTGGAAAAAAAAAAAAAAAGCATCACCGGTAGTTGGAAGATACGGCCTTTGTGATAGAAATGATCCTGAAGATCACATGAAAGAATTCTGCAAGACAACAACTTATTCACTGCAAATACCTTTCTCAACAAACATAAATAGTGACTATACACATGGGCTTCACCAGATGGAATACGTAGGAATCAGACTGACTCCGTCTGTGGAAAGAGGGGCAAGAGGAGCTCAGTATCTTCAGGTAAAACAGGGCCATGAGGTGACTGTGGGACAGGGCATCAACTGCTCATAACCAAGTTCAAGTCAAAGCTGAAGACAATTAAAACAAGTCCATGAGAGCCAAAATAGGACCTTGATTATATCCCACCTGAGTTTAGAGACCACCTGAAGAACAGAACACCAGAGGAACTGTGGGATGGCATCAA